CATTAACCACGTCAATTTGTACAGCATGGTACTGGATTGTTATATGATGGATTTTGATATTAACTAGGCGGCCGCGGCAGTTAGCAGCTAGCGGCTAGCTAGTAATTATGCTAAGTTACACATCAATCGTTATGTACTTTTATATTACGCTGTAACAGGATCTAGTGATATCCAAGCAACAGAGCTTAATTTAGCATGATAGGCTACTTGTGTGGGTTGTACATGACCACTAAGAAGCTTATTGCACTGTATATATATATATATCTACGTCGGTAATATTAACTTTATTTAATACAACATTTACGGTACAAGATGTAATCATACAGCCCATGTAGTATAATATTTTACAAATGATGAATTACAGCAAACATGTGCAATATATCCGTTATTACAGCTCCGTGGGCTGGCAGTAAGGCGATATGGGTCCGTTCTTATTGTGCATCCATGGGTAAAGATAAACGCATGTAGTGCTGAACACGTAACATGAACGTGCCGGGCGGCGCGGTCCCGTGGGTTAGATGCGCGTTCATAATGCAGAGGGAAATAACTCTCAGAATAACGTTATTAGCACATTTTACAACTTGAGGACCGAATGTTTTTAATAAGGGCTATACAAGTGTTCATACTGGGTAGTTTATTTAGTTTAAAAAAAATTATCCAACGATTTACAGACCACTCTTTCCCCATGTAAGTCAATGGGAAAAAGTGTTTCCGGGCCCAGCAACCTAACGGAAGTGTAGTACCGCCGTTTGGCCACAACAAATATTTTCCTCAGAGTCCGGCGCACTTCCTGGGGGCTTGGTAGGTGCAATCTATCCTGGTACATGTAGGTATAATGCATCCTGTTACATGTAGTCGTAATGCATCCTGGTACATGTAGGCATACTGCATCCTGGTACATGTAGTCGTAATACATCCTGGTACATGTAGGCATACTGCATCCTGGTACATGTAGTCTTAAAGTTGGGTAGGTAAGTTTGAGAAACCGTCTCGAGATACACTTTTTGTTATATTCCATGGAATGCTCTTAACATCCTGATAGCAATGAATATCTGAAGTGCTTTGACAAAAAATCCATACAAAAATATCATCTGTGGAAGCTGTAGTACTGTAAAAAGCACGACCAATCATTTTAGCCGAACCGGCTAAAATAACTGGATGGCCTACCTGCCTGTCAGCCTTCCATCTGTGCACAAACTTATCTCGTGCCCTCATTGGTCATGTGCGCGTTCGTGTGTGTTGGAGGAGGGGCTCTGTAAGGAAGTGGCAGATTTGTTCCAGTTGTGTATTTTCAAATTCTAGCGATCTGAAGCTGGTTTCTCAAAATGATCTACCTACCTTTAATGCATCCTGGTACATGTAGTCTTAATGCATCCTGGTACATGTACGCATACTGCATCCTGGTACATGTAGTCTTAATGCATCCTGGTACATGTACGCATACTGCATCCTGGTACATGTAGTCTTAATGCATCCTGGTACATGTAGTCTTAATGCATCCTGGTACATGTACGCATACTGCATCCTGGTACATGTAGTCTTAATGCATCCTGGTACATGTACGCATACTGCATCCTGGTACATGTAGTCGTAATGCATCCTGGTACATGTACGCATACTGCATCCTGGTACATGTAGTCTTAATGCATCCTGGTACATGTACGCATACTGCATCCTGGTACATGTAGGTATAATGCATCCTGGTACATGTAGTTGTAATGCATCCTGGTATATGTAGGTATAATGCATCCTGGTACATGTAGTCTTAATGCATCCTGGTACATGTACGCATACTGCATCCTGGTACATGTAGGTATAATGCATCCTGGTACATGTAGGTATAATGCATCCTGGTACATGTAGTCTTAATGCATCCTGGTACATGTACGCATACTGCATCCTGGTACATGTAGGTATAATGCATCCTGGTACATGTAGGTATAATGCATCCTGGTACATGTAGTCTTAATGCATCCTGGTACATGTACGCATACTGCATCCTGGTACATGTAGTCTTAATGCATCCTGGTACATGTACGCATACTGCATCCTGGTACATGTAGGTATAATGCATCCTGGTACATGTACGCATACTGCATCCTGGTACATGTAGGTATAATGCATCCTGGTACATGTAGGTATAATGCATCCTGGTACATGTAGGTATAATGCATCCTGGTACATGTAGGTATAATGCATCCTGGTACATGTAGTCTTAATGCATCCTGGTACATGTAGTCTTAATGCATCCTGGTACATGTAGGTATAATGCATCCTGGTACATGTAGGTATAATGCATCCTGGTACATGTAGTCTTAATGCATCCTGGTACATGTAGGCATACTGCATCCTGGTACATGTAGTTGTAATGCATCCTGGTACATGTAGGTATAATGCATCCTGGTACATGTAGTTGTAATGCATCCTGGTACATGTAGTCGCAATGCATCCTGGTACATGTAGGCGCAATGCATCCTGGTACATGTAGGTGCAATGCATCCTGGTACATGTAGGCGCAATGCATCCTGGTACATGTAGGTGCAATGCATCCTGGTACATGTAGGTGCAATGCATCCTGGTACATGTAGGTGCAATGCATCCTGGTACATGTAGGTGCAATGCATCCTGGTACATGTAGGTGCAATGCATCCTGGTACATGTAGGCGCAATGCATCCTGGTACATGTAGGTGCAATGCATCCTGCAGATTGTTTAATGGACTAAATGAAACCTCTCAGGTGAGGAAGCAGCACCTGGACCGGGGGGTGAGCTTCCTGTCGGGGGAGCTGAAGGTGGTCGGAGAGGAAGAAGCTCCGGGGAGGATCTTCTTCATCTCCGCTAAAGAGGTCCTGACATCCAGGATGCAGAGAGCTCAGGGCATGCCTGAGACAGGTGAGAGGGGGGGGGGGGAGAGACAGGTGAGAGCAGAGGTCGCGTTAACCGAATATTTTCCGTCTATGACGTAATTTTTCCAAGAATGACGGAAATATCTGAAAGCAGTCCGTCATTTTGACAGATTAGAACACAACTCGGAACAGCGCCAAAATGTCCACCAGCGGCCCACATTATATTACATCCTTATGGCCAGGTCGACTGAGGGCGATCTACTGTACTCTACTTTAACTATTATTTAGTAATTCACACCCCTGTCCAGTTGGTGGCGAGTGTGTGCATATTAAGTAGCTATTGTCTAGTCTTGTATTTGACCTCGTTGATTTCCTCGTTGTTTAACCGGCTTTAGCAATCGCAAAATGTCACGGCAGCTGAGTGTCCGAAGCTTTTTTAATAAGCCCAGTAATTGTGATGGTGTGGATAAACGAGGTGAAAGAAGAGGGATTGATGCAGTGGAGGATGAAGGACAAGCCAGTAAGACTAACACTGACAACGTTCAGCCAGCAGCAGAGGGACAAGCAAGTGGCAAGGAAAAAATAAATCATTCATATTCGTTTCGACATGAAAAGTGACCGCACGGTCGGTGTCTCTGTTCATCTTTTTTTTTCTCCATGCCCTTAAAAGTTCTGTATGAATCATAAAAAAAAGGAATGAATGAACATTTGCTGCTTAGTACCCAAACATAAATATTAAATATGTCTCATCATTAAAACATGAAAAATAAAATGACGGGTAATAATGGATTATGACGGAAATGTTACGATCCTGTCCGTCAAAATGACAGACAACGAAAAAGTCTAACGCAACCACTGGGTGAGAGACAGGTGAGAGAGGGGGGTGGGAGACAGGTGAGAGACCGGTGAGAGAGGGGGGGGAGAGACAGGTGAGAGGGGGGGGTGGGAGACAGGTGAGAGACCGGTGAGAGAGGGGGGGAGAGACAGGTGAGAGACAGGTGAGAGAGGGGGGGAGAGACAGGTGAGAGACCGGTGAGACAGGTAAGAGGGGGGGAGTCAGTCAATATTCTGGAAAATTCTGAACTCTTTGAAATGTAATAGGGGCCAGGTAAGGGTAGAAAGACAGGAGGAGAGACGGGTGAGATGGGGGGAGGAGACAGGTGAGACAGGTGAGAGGGGGGAGACAGGTTTATATTGTGAGACAGATACTTTTTTTAATTTAAGTTCTATGTAGTACATTTATAATAAATACTAAATATGAAGTACCGTGTGCTTCCTGCAGGCGGCGCTCTGGCTGAAGGTTTCCACGACAGGCTGAGAGAGTTCCAGATGTTCGAGCGGACCTTCGAGGTAAATAAAAGTCTTCTAGTGGTAGAAATATACAGTATACCAGACATAAGTGACCTCTGACCTCTGACCTGTGACCTCTGACCTGCAGGAGTTCATCTCTCAGTCTGCGGTGAAGACGAAGTTCGAGCAGCACACAGTTCGGGCGTCACAGATCACCGAGACCATCAAATCTGTGATGGATGACATCAACATCGCCTCCGCTGACAGGAAGTCAGTGAACACACTTCCTCTCTTATATTTATTATTACACACTGATTATAGCTGCTGATACACACTCACTGAATGTCGGAGATGTGCATTAACAGATCTTTAAATGTATCTCCCAAACACACTTCCTGACCTCTGACCTCTGACCTCTGGCAGGATCTTGTGTCTGGAGGAGCGCGAGGAGCAGAGAGATCGTCTGGAATTCGTTCGAGGACAAATCAACCGTCTGAGCGACAGCGTGAGAGAGAAGATCAGAACTCTGACGGAGGAGGTCGCTGCCAAGGTGAGGCAGTACTCTGTTACCAGTAGAAGTACTCAGTTCTTGTACTTGAGTAAAAGTAGAAGTACTCAGATCTTGTACTCGAGTAAAAGTAGAAGTACTTTCTATTTACACAGAGGGGACACATGTCGATGTAGAAGAGACATGAAGAAGTGGATTTTGCATACAAGGTGACCTTTAAGTTTGTTCTGATGGATACTTGGTGTTTGTCAGGTGGAGTCGGCGCTGTCCAATCAGATCCGATCACTTCCTGTTCTGGTGGACGAGTTCAGAGCCGACTTCAGCCCAACACAGCAAACTCTGCAGCTCTACAAAACTGTGAGTGTTCAGCAGCCATCCCATAATACTCTACTGCAGGGCTTCTCAAACTCCAGACCAAGGTCCGGACCGAACCCTGTGTCCCATTATAAAAAAAAAATATCAGATTCTGATGTAAATTAATGTATATGTTCTTGTGTCTGACGCGTTGTGAGAATGAACGTGCATATATATTTACTTGTGTGCACGAGCGTGACACGCATTGCAGACCGCAAGTTAACCGCAAGTTTACCTTGACTTTCTAAAGCTTCTAATGCCTTCTTTGCCGAGGTTCAAGGCGTTGGCTTCAGACAAACAGTGCCATTTCTCCCACTAGTTCAAGCCACTTTACTGGCATTGATCCGGACCAGTGACCTTGTATAAAATTCACAAGTGGACCTTTAACAAAAAAGTTTGAGTACCCCTGCTCTACTGTCAGATGAAGAGGACGCATCTCAGCAGCTCCATTTACAACATCAGGACAAATACTAAGACACGATACGAGGAGACTGTGCTAAGAAAAGAACACAAGCTTAAACCAAAGTTGTGTTATTTAATAAAGAGTTATAGCATTTAACAGAATCGTATTTCCTGCTGAAAGGCCAGAGTCCTGCACGAGTAGATAGGACCAGGATCTGACCAAGTTACACAGAAAAAGCAATGACTTTATACAGAGGAGCAGGAAACAAAAGGGACATGGGACAGGTAACCAGTGGCGACTGGCCATTAGGGGCAGGTGGGGCACAGCCCCACCTAGTGTCAGCAGAAAGTATTACAAATAATGATTACAAAAAATGCAAAAAATAAAATAAAAAAATATATAAAATATATTTTAAGATCATGTTGAATCATCTGATTCGTCTGTACATTTCTGTTTTAGTCTGTGTTCTTCTAATTAGTGTCTACAGTCACAGTGTGTGCCTATTGAGCTGTTTAGAGCCATGTGGGACAAAACCTGATCATGCCCCTCCCTCTCACTGTCAAAGTGAACGGTGACTGTAAAAACTACACTGCGCATGCTCAGAGTATTTTCCTATTTAATGTGTGTGGCAAAAAAATAATGACCAGAGGGGCACTGAGCTACCATCCCCACCATACGTCATCTCACATCATTCAGAGCTGATTGGCTGTAAGTACGTGTGCCGCGAAAAGTGTGCTGTGTGAAGAGGAGACGAGAGAGCTGCAGTGACGCGTCCTAAAACCAGGAAGTAAGCTGCGCATGGCTTCCCTCGACAAAAAAGCAATGAGATTTCTCCAGAGGATTTTAGAAAATAGCTGGAAATAAGATCTGTGGGAAACGTACCTGTTAGATAAATGCACGTTTTGATTAGCCGGATAATATCCACATGTCTACCCTACTTTTATAATTTTTTAATCATAAATCTATGGATTAGATTTATGATAGACTTTTGAAACTACGAGAAGATAAGGAGGACTTTTACAAACAAGTAATAGAAATGTTTGTCCAGAAGGATAGGCAAATGGACTTCATCTTCAAGTCAAGGTAAGACCGCCATTTTATTGAAAATGGGATCTTACTTAGAGAGAACAATTCAATATTTAAATGATAAAATGACATTTTTTGGGTATCCTTTTGTTGAACTGTCTGTTTAAAATTAATCGAAGCATCAGACAAAAAAAGCTTTTGAAAATAATATTATATTTTGGTTTAGGTCAAAATATAATATTTGTAAACCTGAAGAGTCAGAGCGTCAGCAGCCATGACCCTCACTGCACGTCACTGCAGAAGCTTATATATAGACATCTACGTTTTTTGTGCCCCACCACTTTTGTACATATAAAAACGCCACTGCAGGTAACATCCGTATGATAATGTGCATGTCTGTGGAGTGCAAGAGTGCAGAAGGTGGCCAGTCTTTTGTATTAAAGATGTGATAAAGCCTGGGATTGACAGCCGTACTGATACATTTAATCCAGGGGTGTCCAAACTACGGCCCGGGGGCCAAATGCGGCCCGCGGACCATTTTGAATCGGCCCTCAGCAAATAAAAAAAGGATAATAAAATGCGGCCCACAATTGAAACTTGTCCTTGTCTTATATTGTACTTCTTAAATGTAAATGTAAACATATATTACACAGTAGTATTCATGTGTTAATGAGACCACTTTTCAAATCAATTCAGTCAATTCAAGTTGGAAACATTTTCTAACAAATCTTAGTTGATAAGAAAAAAGACTTATTTCCCAACCCAGTTTCACGGCATTTCGTGTTATAGTCACCAAATAAATTGAATCTATTGATTCGTGTTCACCAACACGATGTCCCACTTTTTTTCGTGTCACACAGAACGATTTTAAAAGCAATGTATTTCTATTGGTAGTGTGTTTCGTGCCTGCAACACGTCTTTTTGTCCGGTCGGGACGTGGAAGAACGGAAGCTGTGTGGTTCATAAAAACATGTTCTTACTCAATATCAAGACACGATTATTGTTTTTATTTTAAATTGTATAATGTCGGACTTTTTTTGCCGTCCGTGAGGAAAAGAAATGGAGGCTCAGAATACTGAAATATGTATTTTTTAAAATCTTTTTTTTCTTCTAATTTGTTATTCTTTACATTGCTTTTAAAATCGTTCTGTGTGACACGAAGAAAAATGGGGAAATCGTGTTGGTGAACACGAATCAATAGATTACATTTCGTGATTATAACACGAAATGCCGTGAGACTGGGTTGTATTTCCAGAACAAGCTTGAAATAAACCCTTCCTAATTCTCCTTATTGTAATCAATCTGAGGATCTGTTTGAAGGGATGAGCTGCTAGCACTCACAAACATCATTGACCTACATTTGATTGATTTTGCTAACTGATAACTGAACTTACGAGGCGATAAACCTCTAGTGAGCGGCCCGGCCCTTCATATATATTTCTGTATGTGGCCCTCGGTGAAAACAGTTTGGACCCCCCTGATTTAATCTGTGAATTCAATTAGATTTAAGATAAATTCCTACGATAGAGACAAACATGCTGTCCTTTACACTGGGGACACTGGGGACACTGGGGACACTGGGGACACTGGGGACACTGGGGACACTGGGGACCCTGGGGACACTGGGGACACTGGGGACCCTGGGGACACTGGGGACACTGGGGACCCTGGGGACACTGGGGACACTGGGGACACTGGGGACACTGGGGACACTGGGGACACTGGGGACCCTGGGGACACTGGGGACCCTGGGGACACTGGGGACACTGGGGACCCTGGGGACACTGGGGACACTGGGGACCCTGGGGACACTGGGGACACTGGGGACACTGGGGACACTGGGGACCCTGGGGACCCTGGGGACACTGGGGACCCTGGGGACACTGGGGACACTGGGGACCCTGGGGACCCTGGGGACCCTGGGGACCCTGGGGACCCTGGGGACACTGGGGACCCTGGGGACACTGGGGACACTGGGGACACTGGGGACATGTCCTCACCACTTTGCATTGGGATCATTTATTAAAAACGTTCTGAAAACAGCACTGTGACGGGTTCTCTCTGTCCGTCTGGAAACAGAGGCGTGGTCGGTGAAATTAGCTCAAAAAGTTTCATTTACAAAGACCAAAAAAAAGATGTACTGTTTGAACAGAATATTGAAATAGATTAAATTAAATAAACAACATCAGAGTAATCCAAATGAGGTTTTTCTTTCAATTAAATATTCAGTACACAAATCCAAGAGCTGTTGCCTTCACACAGCTCCAAATATACATTAACACACACACACACGCACGCACGCACGCACACACACACACACACACACACACACACAAACACACACACACACACACACACACACACACACACACACACACACACACTGACCCACCTTTACTCACCGCTGGGTCACCAGACCCACCTTTCACCCACTCACTAACCTCCTTTTCCCCTCTCTCTCCGAGTGGGGTTCTTACCCTCATGACCTCTGCCCGTCCTACCACCTGTCCTCTGGACCCTATCCCCTCAAACCTCCTTCAGACTATCGCTCCTGATATTCTACCGTTTCTCTCCCATCAACACTTCTCTAACTTCTGGTGACTTTCCAAACAGTCTCAAGGAGGCCAGAGTAAACCCTCTCCTAAAGAAACCCACTCTCAACCCGTCTGATGTTATAAACTACAGGCCTGTCTCTCTCCTCCCGTTCCTGTCTTTAAACAACTCTCCTGTTATCTCCATCAGAACAACCTTCTGGATCCGCACCAGTCTGGTTTCAAGGCAGGTCACTCCACAGAAACTGCTCTCCTGTCTCTGAGGAACTGCACACGGCTAAAGCAGCCTCCCTCTCCTCTGTCATCATCCTGTTGGACCTGTCTGCTGCATTCGACACGGTGAACCATCAGATCCTCCTTCGCACTCTCCAAGAACTTGGAGTTTCAGGCTCTGCACTTTCCCTCCTCACCTCATACCTCAAAGACCTACCTACAGGGTAACTTGGAGAGGGTCCGAGTCCGACCCTTGTCAATTAACTACAGGGGTCCCTCAGGGCTCTGTTCTTGGTCTCCTCCTCTTCTCCTTGTACACAAACTCGCTCGGATCAGTCATTGGCCCGCATGGTTTTTCATACCACTGCTACGCTGACGACACCCAATTCATTCTGTCCTTTCCCCGCTCAGAGACCCAGGTCGTCGCACGCATCTCTGCTTGTCTAGCAGACATCTCTCAGTGGATGTCTGCTCACCACCTCAAGATCAACCTTGACAAGACTGAACTGCTTTTCCTTCCGGGAAAAGATTGTCCCACTCTTGACCTAACAATCAACATCGGCCCCTCTGTTGTTTCCCCGACTCAGACTGCAAGGAATCTGGGTGTGACCCTAGATAACAACCTGTCCTTCACTGCAAACATTGCTGCTACAACCTGCTGCTGCAGATACACTCTTTCCAACATCAGGAGGATACGTCCCCTCCTGACCCAGAAAGCAGGTTCTGGTCCAGGCTCTCGTCATCTCACGCCTAGACTACTGCAACTCCCTCCTGGCTGGTCTACCTGCATGTGCCATCCCACCTCTGCA